CAGGACACAAAAGGATTCTTATACAATTGGGTGAATTTACTTTCATATTTAGCAGAAGTGTATCGTGGCAGCAATACTGAGCACCAATTGAGAATATATCATGTAAAGGGATTGAGGGCAGACCTTCCCATTTCCCAGTTGTCAGACCTTACACCCTAGCACTTTGTCGTGGATTCATCTTCTCACGTTGTGTATTTCCCAGTACAGAATCGCCCCCCGATGGAGGAACCCCTGACCATCTGATGCTCCTAAAACACGGCAAAGAAAACAAATAAAGCTTGTTGCTCTTTTTTAGAGTTAGAACTTACTTCCTAGACATTACTAGACAATATTTACCACCGACCAATGAGCTTGTAAGAACAGCTCCAAATTGACACCACTAGCTAATATGGCTAACAGAGGCTCACGACGCCTATTCGAATCTGAATTACTTTATTGATTGCTTTTTAGCTCATGGCTGTTTTGTGTTGGTACGAGGTAGCTATTTTCAATTCTAGTGGCATGGTACTTGATTGCTCACTACAAGCGAGTCACCACCAGGATGGATTGACATACAAAGCAATAAGCTGTCTCGAATTGATTTCAACTGGCAATGAGGGAAAATGCAGGGATTAATAACCATCTGCAGTTTCATCCACAAGCAAAACTGCGTGTGGTAGCAAAGTAACCCCAATTAACTGCACATATCCCACAACACCAGATTTTTATCGAACGAATTAGTCCAGATTGTCGATTGGGTACACAAATTTACAGTTCTGAGATGGACACGGGGACGGATTCCACTAACCCAACACAGAGATGCACACGGTACATGATGGACGGAGGTAGCAGAGGCACGGACCATAGCACCACGGGCATCCGTCCATTGGTCAAAGCGGCGAGACATAGTCGTCGTGTCGTCGCATGTGTAGAGGACACGCGGAGGTAGCCGAGGTGGTGAGCAAGACGCCGATCGAACTCCATCTCGCCCGGAATGGCGGGCTGTAAGAGCAGAGCAAGGAGGAAGGGATCAGGAAGAGGAGGGAGGGGGTGGAGCGGGACTCACGGAGCAGCAACCGTGGCGGCGGAGGAGGACCGAGCACCCTGCCCGGCGTCCGGCATCGATCTGATGGCCTGAGCCCGTCTCTTCGCCGACCGGCGTCCGGCACTCTGCCCGGCGTTGCGTGCGCAGGCATTGGGGGCCGGCGGCCGCCCCGCGCCCCGTCGCCTCGCCTGCGTCGCCTCGCCTTTCTTATAGCAGTGCTTATATAAATAAACTACATTAAACTCTCACGGTTATACTTAGAACTGTATCTGTGCTTTGTGTTTCAGTTCAAATAGATCAGGGTATAATCAGCTTTCTGTGTATCACAAACCAATCATGGGCGACCATAAGATGAAAAAAACACATATTAACATTTAAGTTCATTATTTTTTATTTCAAGCTATTTGTAAATTAACTATATCAAACATTAAACTTACTTCACCGAGGGAAGCAATACGTGATTTGGGCAGCAGAATTTACTAGAAAGTATCAATTAACAGTTATTCAATTATCACCTGAAATGCAACCAAATTTTAGAAAAAGACAGAACATATACAGCTTTAACATTTTTATCAAATCTAAAATAAAAAGGTACGTATCTAATATTTTGATCCTTTCGGTATGTGGATGTTGGTGTAACTGGGATTCTTTATCCTTTTATCCTTCTTTATTATAATGATAGGCAACTCTTCTGCGTGTTCGAAAAAAAATCAGATCTAAAATAGTCAGAGCAGATGTAATACCTCAATGGAATCTCATAAAAAAACATCATATTAAATTAGGCATAGTATAAGTTTGCTGCGCATGGGAGATAGCAGCGTGATCGGCTGGCTGGCTGGGTTGGCTGGCCAGCCCCCTCACATGGACACTGTTTATGTAAACCAGCCAGCAATACTTCTCTCTCACATAAACGAACCAGCAACGATACGAACCAGCCAACCGAGGCTGCTTTTCAGTAGCCGTACAAGTATAGATGAGAGCAGAAAGGTGATAATACCTATAAAGAATGCAGAACTATTGAAGCAACAGTTAAACATCACGGGAAAAAAGCTACTAGGGACTAATAACTAAATATTAACCTTCCTGCAGAAATTCGATACAAAATGATGTGACCTTGGCACATTATCCCCAATGAAACATAGACCTACGTATTCAATTATAATCATAGCATGGCAGCTTTTCAACTGCTAAACTGGAAGATATACAGGAACCATCAAATCCAGCTCCAGAATATGATCAAGATTATATTCTTAATCGAGCAACAAACTCCATAGGCAGAGATATAGGGATCTTTTCACACATCGAGGGAGGGAGGATCAATGAAACTTTATGTGCAAGACAGAATGAAATTGTATGTGCAAGACAGTGTTCGTTCAATGAAATTGTATGTGCAAGACAGTTAACACTACCATGTTCACTCTGAAATGCAAGTTGCCAAATACATACATTTGTTGTTATTTCATTAATGAACAACAAAACTTGATATAGCATCATGGAAGAATGAATCACAATCATTTGGTTGGTGTACATTAGTTGACCACCACAAATTAAAACCAATATCAGAAACTCTTGTTAAATATGGAAATTATAGCTAATGTACTTGGTTAGTCTACATGTTAGTCTACATTAGTTGTAGGAAACAGTACATAACACTCAGGAAGGTTAAATACTAAAAAGATTTGGTCACAACATTTGCTGATCATCACAAGTTCTCAATTGTGATCAGAATTAAAATTATATGGCTGAATGAACTGACAATGTTCCTTGCATAATGCATCTAATGACATTTATATGACTGAATCACAGCTCAACAAACGAGTAACTTGTCATAATTCATAAATGTAGAGTTTAAAGGCCCATTGGCCCAACTTGGACCTGTCTGGAATGGTGGCCCATTGGCCCAACAGAGTAACCTCACTTTACAGAATGGACAGTTTTGATCCTCGAAATTGACCTAGCTGTAGAAGTTCATCTGAATATAATCAACATAATAATCAGCTCTTATTCTATTCAAGATCAGCCATCACATGAAAATTTAGATAAACACGAAGTTATTAACAAATGAAAAATACCAATGTTCTGCTACATTAAATGGCAAATGAGTTAACCCCATGAAGTTAACAGATGGTAGGGCCTCAGAAAATTCTGAGGAATACTAAAGTGACAAAACCAAGACAGACTAATCTACATAAGAAATGGTTCAAGGCTTCAAGTAGGTTTTACATGATTGGTTCAGTAGTGTGACAGTTAATTTTCAGAATTTAACACAAGGCAAAATTACTAGTAATTGCCACAGCCTTCATTGAGCAAACCATGCTCAAACATCCGCATCTCAATCGATTTGACAAAGTTGCGCAGTTATGTGTAAAGAAATAGTCTAAATGCCAGTACCAATTCTTACAGACAATGATATGGTCCAAGAAATTCTACCACTAGATGGTTGCACCACACCTATCATCCCCATATCGTAAGTGTTTTGCTCTTCAAAAATGCAATGAGCTAGCAATTCATTTCCATATATTATTAACAGCACAGCATCCCTACCACATATGTCTCACAATTATTAAAACTTGATTGGTATAATAGCCCGATAAAATCAACAAATCATTGTTAGCACAGAAATAGAATCATAATCTACTCCCTCCATTCCAAATTATAAGTCGCTTTGACTTTTTTGGTATATCCATTTTGCTACGTGTCTAGATATAATATATGTCTGGACACATAGAAAAATCTATGTACCAAAAAAAGTCAAAACGACTTCTAATTTGGAACAGAGGAAGTACAAATTACAGCAAAGAAGATGAATATGATTTCGCTACAATGCATTTAGAGTTGACCATTTAGCTGCAGCAGAGTCATATAGTAGTTTAAGTCATTAAAAAAACCTGCAACTGACAATAACTTCACGGGTCAAACATGACATGAACTCAATTGGGAATATCTAGATCTAGATCATTCTTTATCGCTGATCCTGCCCTAGCAAACATGTTAAACTCACTAACAGCACATGTATCTGACTTGAGTACTTGACACAAGTCTGCCACAAATAAACAAGTAAATAATCATGCATATAAGAATATTATATTTATAGCCAATTATACCGAACACAAAATAAAACTAATTTGATTATCCATACTAACCAACCAAAATGAATAAAATAAAGGTTCGGTGTGCAAATTTAAGGAGTAGACATTATAATTTATAACTTCACAAATTAGATGTCATAGAAATTACACAGCCACTTCAAGTACCAGCTTAGTTGTATGAAAATATTAAATGGAAGCATCTTTATTTTCTGGCAAAGAGTGGGTACTATTATGCATATTTCAGAAAATTATTTCTGATTAGCATAGCTGGCACAGTAAACTACGAGCATCAAATTATAACTTTTTCACTAAAGCCGCTTAAACAAACAGGCCAGGATCCTTGGCTTATAGGTAGAGATCCCCAGGCATCTAGGTTTATCAACATAAGATTCTTTTTTTAAGGGACATATATGACACATGAGTTACCTTCAATACTGGGGCACTACGACCTGACAACTGTAGTAGTTATTATTTCTACACATGGCATACCATTCTTCAAAGACACCATTGATTTGAGAGGTTATGATGCAAAACTCACTACCCTTAGTAGCAATTTCAATACATTTCAGATAAATGATGCAAAACTCACTACTCTTGGTAGCAATTTCAACACATTTCAGATAACTCTTTAAAGACACAACATTGGGATTTGAGAGGCATCATAGCGATTGCATACCAAAGTTAAGAGTATCAAACTGGGTGTACCTAGATCACAGTAAAACTGAAGCTACACAATGTTCTTCAGTTGCCAACCATACAGTACAGCATTATTCAAAGTACACAACTTGGATCTAGAAGCATAGAGACAACAATAGTAAAATGAAAGAGAACCCACAAAGAGAAATCACCCAGAGCAGCAAACAGCACTGCTAATACCAACCAATTCCTCAAATGGCTGCACCATTGCTTCTCCTCGCCAGCTTGTTCCATTCTGTGTGGAATGAACCTGGACGGTCAATGCGCTCATAGGTGTGCGCACCAAACAGATCCCTCTGTGCTTGGATCAGGTTTGCAGGCAATCGACTTGATCTGTAGGTATCAAAGTACGAAAGGCTAGCAGTCATTCCTGGTGTGCTAATGCCAGCCTCCACCGCCCGTGCCACAACCCACCTCCACGCATTCTGCCGCTGCACCATCTCCCTTGCAAACTCTCTGTCAACAATCAAATTGGCAAGCTCAGGATTTCTGTCATACGCCCTCTTGATCCTATCAAGAAAACTCGCACGGATAATGCATCCGCCCTTCCAAATCCTGGCAAGCTCTGCAAGGTTAAGGTTCCAACCCTTCTCCACACTCTTGGCTTGCAGCAGATTCATGCCCTGTGCATAGCTGCAAATCTTCGAGGCGTAAAGCGCTTGCCTGACCCTATCCACCAGCACCTTCTTATCAACATTAATCGTCTCCAACAGCCCTGCTGGCATCCCCTCTTCCTCGAGCACCCCAGCAGCCGCAACCCGTTCATCCTTCAACCCTGACAAGTACCTCCCATCCAGTGATGCGGCAATTGTGGGTGCTGCCACTGCAAGCTCTGCGGCCTGCTGCACCGTCCATTTCCCAGTCCCCTTCATCCCAGTCTTGTCTAGAATCTTGTCAACCAGGGCCCCGCCGCTCCCATCCAATGGGTCAGCCACGGTGAATATATCCGCGGTGATCTCAACCAAGAAGCTCTCGAGCTCGCCCTTGTTCCATTCCGCAAACACATCGGCAATCTCCGAGTTGGACAGGCCCCCAACTCTGCGGAGCACATCGTATGCCTCAGCGATGAGCTGCATATCGCCATACTCGATCCCGTTGTGCACCATCTTAACGAAGTTGCCGGCACCACCGGGCCCAACGAAGGTGACGCACGCCCCATCTTCCGTCTGCGCCGCGGCCTTCTCGAGGATGTCCCTGATGTTGTTGTAGGCATCGACGTGGCCGCCGGGCATGAGCGAGGGCCCGTATCGCGCGCCCTCCTCGCCGCCGGACACGCCCATCCCGAGGTACAGGATCCCGCGCGCCGCGGCCTCCTCGATGCGGCGCTCCGTGTTTTGGTACCACTCGTTGCCGCCGTCGACGATGGCGTCGCCGGGCTCGAGGTAGGGGGAGAGGGCCTGGATCGTGGCGTCGACGGCGGGGCCCGCCTGGACGAGGAGCACGACGGTGCGCGGGCGGGCGAGCGAGAGCACGAACCCGCGCGGGTCGCGGTGGCCCAGCACCGGCAGCGCGCCCTCGTCCCGCGCGCGGGAGAGCGTAGAGTCCACCTTGGCGGCGGTGCGGTTGTAGACGGAGATCGGGAACCCCTTCTCGGCGATGTTGAGAGCCAGGTTCTGGCCCATGGTGGCGAGGCCCGCGAGCCCGATGCGCGGTGGAGGAGCGTGGGCCGCGGCGGCCGCAGGGGACGCCGGCGCCGGGGAGGCCATCGGTGGGTAGGGTTTGGGCGCTGGCGGCGGTGAGGTGATGGAGAAGGAGCGGAGATGGGGGGTGGCCGAGGAGAGAGATTGGGGAACGGAGGTGAAGGTGGAGAGGGGTGTAGGGGATAGAAATATTGCCCGGGGGTTTGGATGGGGTCCCTGGGGTTCGGGGTTATTGTAGAAATTGTCCTCTTTACGAATGGGGTTTTAGGAGTAGATCAGATTTTGCTTCCTCTCCTTTTCTTACACGTTGGTTGAGCAATGAGCAGGAGAGTTAAAACATCTATGACTTCCAACTATTCCACAACAGAAATTAAAAAAATTTATGGTTAACCAGCCTGTTCGCTTGTTGGTTTCAGTCAGGACTTATCAGCCAGCCAACTGTGTTTTTCTCTCACAACAAACCAGCACCAGCCAGGCTTATCAGCCCAGAAACCAACCAGCGAACAAGCCGAACATGTGCATGATTAAAGGGCGTGAAGAACAAGGTTTTGGGTGCAATCAAAGGTAAGCTTTGTTCATATGTTAGTAGTATCCAATATCTTGCATCCATGTTAACACACAAGGTTGTGACACACTAACAAATATTGGTACGGAAAGGTAAGGCATTTTTTTTGAGATGTCATATTTGTTGTAATAAAATTAATGGTTGTGTCTCTTCTATTCATCTACTAAAAACACATCAATATCAACATACTTCACTTTGCCTAAGATCGAGGGACAAACACTTACAGTGATATAACATTATAGGTGTTAGATAAAAAAGATCCTTTTTTGCTAGAGATAATTGGCATGTTCGGCTATTCCAGTGCACAGTAGATTCGGATGATTTAATAGTATTCTGTGAGAGAGAATAAGCTGAAACAAGTTGAAACTTGTCCAGCCGAACACGCCGAATAGATTCTGACGCAATGCAATAGCAAGGTGCCCACACCTTAACTATTTTGATAAGGGTCGTAGAATCTGAGCAAGATGCACCATGCCCCACATATCGGTTTCTTTATACCAATGTTTTAAGTGTTCGATAGATCATAAGTGTTATGAATACAATCCTACCGAGCCAAAATTTATTATCATGCAATTGTGCATAGTATCTGATCCTACTTAAAAGTTCCATTTGATCCTATAAACATCAATAGGATATATTAATAATCGTAACGAAAATCTTTCTAAGCCTGAGTCCTATATTGAGTTTTATCTGTTTATTCTGTCATATGGTTTCACTCTTTAGGATTGGTATATACATTACCTTTTAAATGATTTAGTGGATTGAAAATATTCACTTGTTATAACATATGTATTACCGCTGTACATCTTTGTTGGTGTGAACAAATTCATCCGAGTTTATATGATTTTAACTTACAAAATCATTGTTGTAGGATTTGATTACAATATGTCACAAATCTTTTAAAATATACAGGCTTTATAAAATCTGGTAGGACTCCAATCATTTATGAACCAAAAAACGTCCTACCTGCAAGCAACAAACAAACTAGTAGCCTACGCATGTAGGCGCACAAGCCACGGATAAAAAATATATATAATGAGAAGCAAAATTTCGAAGGGACTTGAGGTGCTTCCTGCAAAGGGCCACCTCCACCTCACTCTCTTCCGTTATTTCGCCGCAGCCGCCTGCTGTGGTGGCTGCCTCACGGGCGGACTCATCGAGGCGGCCAGAGGGTAGGGGCGGGCTCTCCACGGAGCAATTTTTTTTTTACAACAAAAATCCTCGGAGCAATTGTTTTACGCCTGAGGGCCCCTCAACCAGTCAGCCAAGCCAGCCCGTCCTCCTGTCTAGAAGAACCTTTTGTATACATATTATTGTTATTATATATATTCTTGTGTAATTATATGTAAATCCTACTACGGCTCTTGGACCAACCGTCGAGCACAGCACAGAACACAGATCCTGCCTCCTGGGCTCCTCCAGCTCCAGGCTTGGCCGGTCGATAAGTCCAAGGGCCAGCTGCCGCTCGGCGCGCATCGGAGGCGCCCAACCCAACAAAGCCCGACTCCAACTCCAACAAGGTTCGGCGGGGGCAGCCCTTGGCAACCAACGGCCGTGCGTGCTCCATCCCCATCATCCGTCCCCCCAAGCCATCCATGGTACTGACTTGGCCAGTTGGCCGGGCAAAAGTCATATTCGCTGCACATGTGGAGAAGACAAGGAACCCCAACTTTGATTTGCTGATTGCTGAGCTCCGAATCTCCACAGGAAGCCAAGTGCTAGGAGCGATGGAAAGGCTCATGGCTACCGCCAAGAGGAACCTGGAATCCAAGCCTGATCAAACTTGACTCATCAAGAAAAAGAAAACCAGTGAAACAGCGAGGTCAGCTCTACAAACTTGCTGGGGCCGCATCATCCTACTCTTTCAGCATCTTCGAGCTCAACTGACTGCACAGTTGCAGGATTACTTAAGGCCCAGGATTACTTAAGGCCCCGTTTAGATGCGAAAATTTTTGACTTTTGGCTACTGTAGCACTTTCGTTTGTATTTGGTAAAAATTATCCAATTATGGACTATTTAGGCTTAAAAGATTCGTCTCGCCAATTACGGACAAACTGTGCAATTAGTTATTCTTTTTACCTATATTTAATGCTCCATGCATGTGCCGCAAGATTTGATGTAACGGGGAATCTTGAAAAATTTTGGATTTTGAGTGGGATCTAAACAAGGCCTAAGATTAGGAGTAATGCTAACGAGCTGCACCCGCACGGCTCCAAATCGTACACCGTCGCTGCAAGTGCAAGCGCTCGAACTCACGTCTTCGTCGTGCACAGCTCTAGACTTTCTACACCCCCCCCCCCGAGCAGCACAGTACAAGAAAAACCTAGCAGAATGAACCTTAATGAAAGCATCCAGGCCCCTAATTAGTTTCGGTGATTAATTAAGTTAGATCATGATAATGTCAATTGATTAAGCAATCATGGTTGTCATGCCCCTACGATGAAAATCGTTTCGGTTATCAAAGGATGGACGATAAGATTAAGAATAGACTAGTTACAAGTGTCGTTTGGTATTGAAAAGACACTTACAGTAGTTTAGGACTTTGTTTTTCCTTTTACCGTACTATTAAATGGGTATGGACTAGTAGCTTGACCTAGATGAGTCTAGTGGGTTAGGTGTGGTGCACACTTGTCAAATCTAGCACTAGGTAGTTCAGAAGTAGCCCTAAGATCAATTGAAGCAAAACTTCTTTCACATATGATTTCGAGTTGGAAGTGAATGAAGAGTCAAATGACTGATCGGACGTTGGTCTGGTTGTGACCGGACGCTGAAGGGTGAGTCCGGTCAGTTCATTTGATCAACTTGAGCCGTCTAGTTGTGACCGGACGCTGAGTGAAAAGTGACCGGACGCTTGGTTCCTGCGTCCGGTCTACTCTAGAGAGGCTCTAGAGATGGAGTTTCCTGATCGGACGCGTTCGGTCAGTGCTGACTGGACGCTAGTCAGGATTCGGTAATTGACCGGACGCTGAACAGCGAAGTGACCGGACTCTGGGTGCCAGCGTCCGCTCAACATCAGTAAGATTCTAGAGAGCAGTTTTTGTGACCGGACGCGTTCGGTCAGTGCTGATCGGACGCAGGTCAGAGTCCGGTCACAACTTAACGGCTCTGTGGCGGGGATAACTGACCGGAGCGTCCGGTCACCCCACAGAGTGCTGACTCAACCTCCTAATGGTTCGTTTTGAATGAGGAGTATAAATACTTCCTTTATTCATCCAATGGAGGTCTCTTACTCATTTGTTCAGCTGAGAAACACCCTTGAGAGTGCAAAGGAGAGCAAGAGCTTAGTGAAGTTATTGAGATTTAAAAATCCAAGATTAAGGTCCCATTAGTGCAAGGAGTGTAGCAAGTGTGCATCCACCTTTCTCAATAGGCTTGTTGTGGTTAAGTGCGAGCCTGTGCTTGTTACTCTTGGTGATCGCCATCACCTAGACGACTCGGTGGTGATTGGGAGTTTCGTGATCAACCGGCGGAGCATGTGGATGATCCAACTCAAGTTGTGAGTGGTTGTGGCCGATTCACCACGACGGAGTGTCAAAGAATCAGCCCGTAGAGATCACTTGATCCTTGCATGGATCAAGGGGGAGCTACACCCTTGCGCGGGTGCTCCAACGAGGACTAGTGTGGAGTGGCGACTCTCCGATACCTCGGCAAAACATCGTCGCGCTCCTTCTCCTCTCTTTACTTTAAGCATTTATATTTAAGCAATTCATTTCTTGTCTTTACATTCTTAGAATTGTCATGCTAGAGTAGGATTAGAACATAGGGTGTAAAACTTTTGTGCGGTAGAACAATAGGAACATATTCTAGGCACAAGGGGTGAAGTGGGCTAAGCGTAGGGTTTAATTATTGCAAAGAATTTTAGAATTAGCCCAATTCACCCCCCTCTTGGACATCTTAATCCTTTCAATTGATATCAGAGCCTCGTGCTCATGAATTTAGGCTTAACCGCCTAGAGAAAGATGTCCCACGAGGATGAACCTCCTCCTATCTTTGAAGGAGATGATTTTTTATTGGAAAATCCACATAGAGGCTTACTTAGAAGCTCTAGATGTTGGAATTCTGAGAGCCGCCTCTCAAGGTTTCCCAAAACCTAAGGATCCCACACACCTTCAAGGCGATGAAGTCAATTATGAGAAATAGAATGCAAATGCTAGAAACACCATCTTTAGAGGCCTTTGCAAATATGTGTTTAACCATGTGCGGAACCACAAGGACGCCCATGCACTATGATCAGACATTTATGCGCTCCATGAGGGGAACAAAGAGTGAGCGTGAGGAACACTATCATCTAGTTATGAAAAATCTTAATTCATTTGAGATGCTTCTAAAAGAAAGTGCTAATGAAATGTACTCATGCTTGAATGTCCTTGTAGAGAAAGTCAATGCGCTTGGACTCACACAAATGCATTCATCCGATATTGTAAAAAAGATCTTGAGTGTCCTCCCTATTGATAAATATGGGCACATTATGACCGTGCTTCATCGAGGTGATCTTTTCACC